CCTCATGAAAATGCATTTGAATCAGAGAAGAAGAAAGCCTTGTAGGGAAAGACAAGTAACAGAAAGTAAATAGCACCATGGACAGAATAGTAAAACTTATGCAGGAAGAGCATTTTTCTCCTTTAATTGTTTCAAGAGAAGAGATCTGAGTGAATAATGATCTTTTTCAATGATAGTGTAGTCACTGGGATTACAGGGGATACAAGTTACATAACAAATTTGCTATGTGGAACAACAGAAAGCAAAAGGCTGTGAGGTGTAGGCTGGACCATTGTCAGTTTAAAAAAGGAAGATACACCCTTGACAGCTAATGCAGCCAGGAGGTGTTGAATTACATGCAGGGCAGATTCATCATGCAGTGCTGAAGCACAAATAAAAACAGAAAATATATCAACAAAAACTTGAAGAAATGAAAAAGTTTTAAGGAGGAACACTGTGTGTAGCATGTTACCATGAGTCATTGGAGCAGAGGCCACGAGAGTTGACAGCATCACAGCAAAAAGGGTGAGGCATGGCAGCATAATGGAAACCAGTGGAAATAAAAGCTCTAGCTGCACAAGGTGGAATGTGAAACAGTTTGTGCAAGGAACAAGCCGATTGCTGAAAAAAGGCAGGGCTTTCTTTAGTGTTATCAAATGAGGATAGACTACAAATTAAACTCAAGGTCAGACTGAACTGCATATAGAGACACTGTGTCAAAAAGTCCCTGCCCAAAAAAAGAGGTAACATAATATTCAGTGCTTGATAATAAGTAATAGCATTATCATATCAAACAACAGGTAGGGCTTAATGACTACCTACATGTCAAAGAAAGAGAGGGGCATGGGGAAGGCAAAGAGGAGCCTGTTGATGCAAAAATGAGACATTAAGAATGAGTCCATTGCTACAAGAGAGATAACAGAAGATCAGTGTGGATAGCATTATGTACATAAAAAGAGGCAGTAACTAAGTTAAGGACTTGGTATGAAAAAAATTTGCAAAGCAAGGATAACACAGAGAGCTCACTGCATCGACAAGAGGTGTGTGGTAGTGAACCCAGGTGTTTCCAAGTATTATAAAAACATATGTTACAGCTTCATGATGGGGGGTCCCATCAGTAAAGACAGTGAGAGCACTATTTAAAGTGGTGATAAACAAAAAAGTTTGAAGAGAAAAGGGAACTAGGGTAAATAGAGACAAAAAGTGATCATGGGGCATATCAATAAAAATGGAACCAACATAGACAGCCAAAGTCCCTTGCAGAGGACTGCATATAGAGACACTGTGTCAAAAAGCCCCTGCCCAAAAAAAGAGGTAAAGCCAGCCTTGGTAAGTGGTAAGTGGTTTTGTTTTACTCCACTCACCTGGCAATACTTTGTAACATATGTTTTTATAATACTTGGAAACACCTGGGTTCACTACCACACACCTCTTGTCGATGCAGTGAGCTCTCTGTGTTATCCTTGCTTTGCAAATTTTTTTCAAAAAGGAAAAGCCAGCCTTGGTAAGTGGTAAGACGGTATTGATTAAGTCAATTCCAAGGCCTATAGGTATTCCAGTACATCCTCAAGAGATGAGAGGAAATAGCATTGACAATGGGAAATAAAGTATTGCCAGGTGAGTGGAGTAAAACAAAACCATCAGCTCCAGTGTGTAGCAATCCTGAAAAGAAAAGGTTGTCAATAGTTAAACAGAGGCTTCAGCATTCATCTCCCATGGGAATAGCAGTAGCCACCACAGTAGAGCCAAATGCTTGATTTCCATGAGTAACATCACAAGTTTTATAATGAGACAAGGCAAGACAATTAGCTGGGCTACAGATTCAAAAATATTAGTTGAATGGGTAAGAGAGATCACAGTTGAAGCAACAATATGCCTGCATAACCATCATCAATGAGGCCAAGGATAACAAAAGTGCCTCTTTTTGATGCAGCTGAACAAGAAAGAACTGGAGAGCTGTCCTAGGAGGTAAAGGATTATGAAAAGGAGTAAGAACCTTCTAAAACATACCAGAGAATTCCAAGCTAGTGTCAGGTTTCATAGAAACATCTTTTAAAGCATTTTTGTAGCCTTGGTTTGCATTTTTGTATGTTAACTGCTTTAACAAGACAGAGGCTACTGTCTTGTTATCCACCTGGCATTCAATAGCTTTATTTAATCTTCTATAAAGGCAAGGCAAGGTTCAGTGTCCTACTGTTTAATAGTACTAAAAATCCTTGTGTGTCCACTGCTTCAGAGATTCTTTTTTAAGCTTTTAAAGCAATTTGAGGATAATAGCCTGAGGGTGGCAATGAACTTGTTGACAAATGTCTGAAAAGTCTCTCTGCCCTCATAATTCAGCAGCTCCTATAGGAATATAGCAATCAAAATTAATAATAGCTTGCATGTCCTCAGCACCAGAACGTTCTTAAGCCACACCTGATGTTGGGCTGGAATGATAATAGTACGCTCTGAGACTTTCCAGTCCAAAAGGATCATTTCACAATCATGAAGGATACCCTCAATAATGCCAATTACAAAAGTACTTTTAAATCCATATTCCTTGACAGCCATTTTAAAATCTTGATCTTTCTTGTTTTTGTTTTTTTTGGAAATTGGGATTGAACTCACAAACTTGATTGTGTCAGGCAGCTAGTTAGGCCGCTGAGATTACCCTCTGCTCCTTTTAACTCTTTAAATAGAGTACTGCAAACTTTCTAAGTGGGGCTGTTTTCCTATTGATACCAAACAGGTCAAGCAATTAATTTGCCATATTATTTACCTTCTTGGGCCATCTTTTGCTTGGGAGGTCAAACAGGTGAAGAGTTGCCCAGGTGTTTTACAAGGTTTGTATATTTTGGAGGCAGCAGCAAGAGGAGGTGAGAAGCAGCACAAGTGAGGCATCCAGGAAAATTGGGAAGTGAACCGTGTGTTGTTCCATGTGCCTGCCTGCCAAATGTCACCACACCCCAGCAAAGATACCAAATGTGCAAGACAGAGAACAGAGCTCAAGTTCCTCAATGCAGCAGTTTACATATGTGTTTCCTGATCTGACACAATGACCACACCAACCTCAGAATAACAAGCAGAATGATCATGAATTTCCCACAAGAGGTGCACCAAACTATCCTTGAAAGTCACATGGCCTGCCTTCCTAAGGAAGTACAGTTCTGCATTATGTTTCTGTTGCACTTTAGACACAGAATTCTCCATGATTTAATGGATGAAGGGATTTTTTTCAAAGAAAATGAAAGGATTTTCCAAAGAAAGTGAAATAGACATGCTCTGGGGGTTGTTTCCACTCCAGGAATTCAGCAAAAGTAAGTTACACTCTACATCAGACATCTCCATTGTAGAGTCACATTCAGGCACCAAGATTTTGGAGTCCATTCCTGGATCCACAGCCCCTCAAACAGGTTCATGGGAAAGGCCCAAAACAATGAAACAAGTGACACAATCTTTAGGGCTGCAGGAGAAATAAAATTATTGGCAGAGCTCATAAGTCTGCTAGCCACCTGGCTGAATGATGCTGGGTAGCAAGTATTTAATCAGAACCAGAAAGGAGTTTAGTGGACAATGGAGGAAACCTGAGCAGAATCTTGAAAGGGTTCAAGGATCCCTCAGAGCAACAAATGATGCTAATTTATGTAAACTATCTTGCCCTATCTTTCCCCCTGTAATGTCTCCTCATTCTCAGTTCAGTCATGCCCAGGCCACGCCACAGGCTTGCATGTGTATTCAGCTTCAATGGCTCCAACATTTTCCCATATATTTGCATCAATCACCAGTGCACATCACTCCGGTCTCATTCATCACTGCCACTTTCTCTCACTCACGGATGTGGCCTTTCAGTTTTACTTAATGCTGATAGACATTTGCCCTATCTCATCACATTTATGTTTAGTCACCATGCTCCACAGAAGAGAATTTGTCAGTCTGAGCTATCAGATGCTGAGGACAGAGTAACACTTTTTTTTGATCAATACTATTTCTCAGCGTGCATAATATTTTTAGACCAAGTGAGTATGAAAGTCACAGTGGTGATAATAAGGAAAAATTAAAAGTGCAAGATGCTGTAAGAAAATGAGAAAAAGCAGTGTGAAACTCACGAGTGCAAATGAAGAGTAAAATTGCATTTTACCTAGAGTTGCTTGAATAACACAAATAGCTTACCCAGACAATGTAAAAATAGCATTGATTGCAGAAGCAGTACTTTGAAACAAAGACATGTGGATCTCCCGTCCATGGAGACATGGCATTGTTACACACTGTTTAAATGTAAACTAAAAAGGAGAAGAGAAGCTCTGTGCTTGTAAAACTCTAGTAACATGTTGCAGAACCACTTAGGTTCAAGGCCAATTCTAGATGGAACAGGGGGAGCCTATAGTTAAATTTCCATGAGTTCATATATGTCTATAGAGCTGTAATAATTGATTATTGGGAGCTCAGATTGTGCATCCTGCATTTTTTTCACATCAGCAAAATCAGTAAAAGATGTGGGAGACTTGAAAATTATATTTTTTCCGAACAGAACAATTTAAGCAACACAGTATTTCATAAGACAACCCCATATATCAGTAGCTACCATAATTCCTCTTTCCTTGAAATAGTTGAGTATACCTTCATATACAATAGTATCAAACATAAGAAAATAGTATAAAACCATTAAAGAGAATGAAATTATTATAGGACATTCAAAACCAAACAACACCAAATGGAAAATTGTTATCATATTATCTCATTATTTGTTGGGCGCAGGTGCTCAGCATACCATACCCCACCTGGGACTAAGGACCACGCCAGCTTCTGCAATGCGCTACGTCCCTCTCCAAATTAGCCACCCCGTACTCACTTCATATTCACCACAGCTGAGTATATTAGCCAGAGCCCACGTCTCATTCCAGCCCTTCCTCCTCGTGGCAGCCCTCGTGGCAGCCTGATTGGCTACAGTCAGATATATAAGGCAGAACCCGCAACAATAAAGTTGGCAGTTCCTGTTACCCACCTGAAGCATCGCCTGTCTCATTGGGGGGCTTTGCTGGTCAATTATTCATAAAAGATTTGTTTATACTCTCACACATAATAAAATCCAATTAGATAAAACATGATGTAACCAATGGAAACAGAAGAACAGAAGCATGGCAGCACTTCAAAGCAAGATGATATTACATTAGCAGTGGCTATGGTAATGTCTTGTTTTCTTAAATATAGCTGTTCATACCATCACAAATAATAAGATCAAACAACCAAGGATAAAATTATTACAACTAATGAATGGGAACATTGTAAGTCTCCAAGCAATGTAATGGGGATTCATGATTACCATAAACTCTTATGTACTCTTGCCAGTTCTTACACTAGGGAGAGTATACAGTATTTATATGTGTGAGTTTGATTTATTTCTCATATGAGTAAGGTCTCAAGTTGCATCCATTTATTTATAAATATCTCAATGTGATCCTTCTTTATAGCTGAGTAGTACTCCATTGAATTAAAATATCACAGATTTTTATCCATTCCTCAGTATACAGACTGATAGGCTGTTTCCAAGATCTGACTGCTATAAAATTTGAGCTGCTATAAAAATGGGTGTACTTTTATCACTGAGGTATGATGCTTTCAGTTCTTCTGTGAATATGCCTAGAAGTGGAATAGCTGGATCAAGTAGGACTTCCTATCCCAGTTTTTTGAGAAATCTGCATACTGATCCCGTAATGGTTTCACCAGTCTAAACTCCAACGAACAGTGCAGGAGAGTTCCATTTCCTCCACAGCCTCTCCAGCATAAGTCGTTGGTAGCTTTCTTGATCCTGGCCATTCTTTCTGGAGTGAGATGGAATCTCAGTGTGGCTTTAATTTGCATTTCTCTAAAGAGTAATCATGATGAACATTTTTTCATGTATTTATTTGCCATTTGTATTTCTTCATCTGAGAATTGTGTATTCATCTCAAATGCTATTTTTGGATTAGCTATTTGAATTTTGGGAGTCTGATTTTTTAAAATTCTTTATATGTTTTAGACAGAAACCCTTTGTCTGAGGGATGGTTCACTAAGATTTTTTCCCAGTTTGTGGTTTGTTTTTTTCACTATGCTGGAGATTTCTTTTGACATGCACAAACATTTTAATAATATGTGATCCCAGTTGTTGATTCTGGGAAATATTTCCCATGTGGTTTGATTCCTGTTCATGAATTCTCTACGTACTCCTATGTCTTCAACAATTGTACCCTGTTTGTCTTCCAACAGATTTAGTGTTTCTGTTATAATATTCATATCTTTGATCCACATACATTTTAGTTTAATACATGGTGATAGGCATGGGCCTATTTTTAGTTTTTGGCCTATGGTGAGCCAGTTTTTCAAGCACAATTCATTAAAGAGACTAGTTCTTCCAGTGAACATGTTTGGCCCCTTTATCAAAAATAAGATGGTTGAGTTTGTTTGTAGTTGTGGCCATATCTTTTAATTTATTCCATTGATCTTCAGATATGTTTTTATTCCAATACCATGTTGATTTTATTATAATTGCTTAGCAGTATAAGTTAGACTCAGAGCTTGTGATGCCTCTTGCCTTTCCTTTGCTGCTTAGAATTGTCTTTGCTATTCTAGGTCTCTTCTGGTTCCAGAATAATTTTATGAGTGATTTCTCTAGATCTATGAGGTATGTTGATGCCATGTTCATTGGGATTACAGTGAATCTGTATAACAGTTTTGAGAGAAAGGCCATTTTCACAATACATAGTCTTACTATGCATGAACAAGTGATGTCTTTCCATTTTCTGAGATTCTCTTTTCAGAATATTAATTTTCCTTATGTAGATTTTTTTAATCTTTCATGAGATTAATTCCAAAGTATTTCATTTTTGGGGTTGGTAGTGTGAAGGGTATGGCTTCTCCTATTTCTCTCTCAATAATTTTGTTGTTAGTGTATAGGAATGCTGTTGATTTTTGAGTATTGAGTTTGTATCCAGCTACTTTGCTCAATTTATTGTATCTAGGAGACTTCCAATAGAATTTTGTGGGTCTTCTAGGTAGAGTATCACGTTATCTGCAAATAATAGTAATTTAACTTCCTCTTTTTCCTGTCTTTACCCCTTTAATTTCTGTCTATTATCTCATTGCTCTGGCTAGTGTTTCCAGTACTATTTTGAATAGGATCAGTAATGAGGGGCATCTTTGTCCTGTGCCTTATTTTAAGGTAAAGGCCTTCAGCTTTTGACCATTTAATATGATGCTGGCTGTTGGTTTGTCATACATGACCTTTATCATATTGAGGTAAAGATCATCTATTCCAATTTTCTGTAAGGTTCTTTTCATGAATGGAAGTTGCACGTTATGAAAAGCTTCTTCCGCATCAACAGAAATGCCCATGTGATTCTTACCTTTGCTTTTATTGATATGGTAGATTACATTGATTGATTTACATATGGTGAAACATCCCTGCATGCCTGGGATGAATTGCACTTGGTTGTGGTGCATCATCTTGGTGATTTGCTGCATCCTGTTTGCCAATATTTTTTTGAGGATTTTTGCATCTGTGTTCATTAGGGAGATTGGCCTGTAGTTCTGTTTTTTAGTTGGGTCTTTCTCAGGTTTTGCAACTAGAATAACATTTGCTTCCAGGAATGATTAAGGAAGAATTGCTTTCCTTTTGATTTAATTGAAGTGTTTGAGGGATGCTGGCATTAAATTTCTTCGTATTTCATGTAGAATTCCACGGTGAATGCATCTGGGCCTGGGCTCTTCTTTGTACATAAGGAGAATTATTATATTTTCAATTTCATTAATAGAGATTGAGTTATTCAGTAGTTTTACATCTTCTTGATCAAGCTTTGGTACTTTATATGTTTCTAGGAATCTGTCCATTGCTTCTGTGTTATTAAACCAATGAGAGTAGACAATTTTAAAATAGGTGTTGATGATCTTCTGTATTTCCCAAGAGTCCTTTGTGATTTTCTCATTTGCATTCCTTCTTTCATGAATTTGAACTTTTTCTTCCCTTTTTTAAATAGGGTAGGTGAGGTGCTTATCAAATTTATTTATTCTTTCACAGAACCAACTGTTTCATTCATTGATTCTTTGGATTGTGGTCTTAGTCTCTATAGCATCAATTTCTGCTCTGATTTTTATAATTTCCTCACTTCTTTCGACTTTGGGCTTCACTTGCTCTTGTCTTTCTAGATATTTGAGGTGTACCATCAGGTTGTTTATTTGTATTCACTAGGTTGTGGGAAGTCAGTGCAATAAATTTTCCTCTAAGGACTGCTTTATTGCATCCCACACATTCCAGTAAGTTGTATCTGTATTTTTGTTTGCTTTTAGGTATTGTTTAGTTTGTGCTTTAATTTCCCCTGTGACCCATGGATTGCTCAAGAGTGTGTTATTCAATTTCCATGTGTTTGTGTAATTTTTGCAGTTTCTTCTATCATTAGTTACTAGATTTATGCCACTATGACCTTATAATATGCATGAGGTAATTTCAACTTTTTGCATTTATTTAAAAATGTTCTGTGGCCTAGTATTTGATCTATGTTAGAGAGTATCCCATGTAATGCTGAGAAGAATATGTATTCTGATGTTGTGAGGAACACTCTGTATATGTCCATCAGGTCCATTAGTTTACAGGTGTGATTCAGTTCTGTTATTTCTTTGCTGACTTATGTCTGGTTGATGTGTCTCTTGGTGTCCATGGTGTGTTAAGTTCTCCTGTTAGAATTGTGTTATTGCTTATTTGATTTTTCATTTCTATATATACTTGCTTTCGATAACTTTGTGTTCTGGAATTTGGTGCATATATATTTAAAATAGTTATCTCTTCCTCTTGAATTTTCCCCTTAACCACTATGTAATGACTTCTTTATGTCTTAGAATCATTCCTGGTTTGAAGTTGACATTGTCTGCAAACAAAATAGGTACCCTTGTTTTTTTTTTTTTTTTTTCACTTTCAGTTGCATGATGCATTGTTTTCCATCCTTTGATTTTATGTCTGTGAGTTTCATTTTGGGTTAGATGGGTTTCTTATAGACTGCATGTGATTGGCCATTGTTTCTTGATCCATTCTACCAGTCTGTTTCTTTTAATTGGTGAATTGAGCCCACTCACATTAGTGTTTACAACTGTTATATATTGGTTTACTGTTGACATGTTATCTTTCCATACTGGTAAATTCTCTGACTTGCTTAGTAGTTTTATTCTATGGGTATCTAAACTGTCTTTCAGTATTCTTTGCAGGATTGGCTTGGTGTTCATAAATTTCTTTAGATGTTCTTTGTCATGAAAGTTAAAGATGCAACAGCAGGATATAACATGTCAATAGACTTGCAAATTAATTGTAAATATAAAATGACTGCATCTGTGAGTGCATCCTTTTTTGGCAATTCAGGTTCACTGAGGCCAGATAGTATAGGCTACAAAGGCTAGGTTCAGGTGACAGAAAGCACCATGTACGTTCCTAACCCATGTGCTTCTTGATCGTGCAACACAGAATGTAATGGTTTAATATCCTTAGAGACTCTACAACAGTCTTCAAAACCAAGCTATTGGTATAGCTGCGCTTCTCCACATGAGAAATGTGGCATGGGACATTAGCTAAGTAAAGAACTTTGTCATGTCTGCAAAATGTCGCCTCTTACCCTTCCCATCTGTTGTAGCCAGGGTTTGTAAGGAAAGAGATTTAATATGCAACTTATAGTTGATAAGATTATATTAAAATGTTTACTCCCAAAAAGTCAGATTTAGAGAGGTGTAGACCTGTCCACATACTAGACACCTAAAAAATCCAGCTGAGAATCTGAATCCTATGACAATACACTTCTTACGTTCTGCTGAACACCGAGAGCCCATGGCAAGGACCACCACAAGTTTACCTGGAGACCTAGAGGCACTGTCAGTGTCTCATGCAAGTCTCTATCAAGGTTGTGTACTAGGAAGAGTCAAAGTTCAGTGTTGGAAGCTACAAAGTCTGTGCACTTGGGTGCAGCATGTGTGCCATCAGGCTGAGTGATCATACTGGAGCCAAGACAAAAAGCTCAAGTTGAGGCCAGAGATCTGCAAAAGAAAACAGTAGCCATGCACAGTACTAATGATGTCCTGAGGTCCTCCTCCTCCTCTGATGATGTCTGTGTTCATATCTGGAAAACTGTGATACCAGCTTCTCCATGAGAATCAACAGCCCAGCACATTCCCCTCCATTTCTCCTTTGATGGTGTTTGCAACAACCCTTCAATGGATGCTCAATGCCCAAAACCATGGTGCCACAGTTCACAAGTTGACATTACTAAGTGGGCCACACCACCAAATCATTTCTTTAGATACTTAAATTCCAAAACAGACTTTATGGGTGCTGAGGATTGATCTCAGTGGCATAAGCATCTGCTTAGCAAGCTCAAGGTCATGAGTTTGATCCTCTGTACAAAAAAAAAGGACACTGTATAACTCCATGTCTTAAAGTAGTCATCTGGTCTACCTCACATAAACAACTGTGAGAAAACCTGAGAAACACTCAAATGTAATAATCAGAAACACATACTTCCAGAGAGTTGTCTTCTCATGTGCCTTGACAAACCTCTCATGAGAACTATGTGGTCTCTTTCCTGTGTGTGTGTGCTACACTGCTTAACTGTGGGCATTTGCATCAAACTGTCGACAAGGTAATTGATTGTATAAGGCAATTTTAAAATCTTTTTGAAGGAAAGTAAAAGAACAAACAGTTATATACATTTTTACACATAAGTCTCACTGCAGTACACTGACAGCACTGAACCCAGGAGAGCATGCCATGAGGCTGGTGGTATGCACATCGCCACCTCAATAAGGTTGCAGTGGTTATAGATGCTGGAGGTAAAATGTGGAAATAATGTAACAACCAAAACAGTTGAAATAAAAAAACACTGAATATGCATTTAACATTCCAAATCTAAACTGGGCCTGATGGCATGTGTGTGTAAGCCAAGTACTTGAGAGGCTGAGGCAGGTGAATTGTTTGAGACCACTCTGGGTTATAAAGTGATCTCAAAGCCAACCTAAACTTCATAGGAAGATGTTACCTCCAAAAGAAAAACAGTTCAAATCTAATAAACATAGTGTAATAGTAAGCACCTTGTTACATTAGCATGACTATCATGCTTATATCATGCTTATTGCACTATGAAAACCTAACTTAGAGCCCATTTCATAGTAAAATATCATATCATTTACTAAGCAGAGTACACTGATGAGTATTTGTTGTTCATCATTGGCATTTGGTGGTGATGGAGCAGTGCTTGCCACTGCTCTCCACAGAAAAGTGACTATTGCCGCAGTAAACAGGAATATGCATGAATCACTGCAATGGGTCCTTAGATCTTTGAGTATGAGACGCACTAAAGGAAGCACTGCACTTAGTGGACTCACTATGTTTAATCATTTGAATACTTTGAACACTGACTTCAGTAGTGGTTGAAGTACTTGCCTACATTTCCACCAACAAAGTTATACAGTTTCTTTTCTCCTGCTGTCTCATTAGTGTTCTTTTGATTTTGTGGTGATTTTTCTCTGCAATGAGATGGTGTACTGATTTGCATTTCTCTATTGTGCATAAATGCTCAATAGTTCTTCAGGTATTTCTTGACAATTTGTACCTGTTCTGAAAAGTGTGCATTCATTTCACATTTCTATGGGATT